TAATCAATGACAGTACAAAGGAGGAAGKTACTCTTTACTAAGGAGGAGGAGCAATGTAGTGGGATTTCCAGTGCAGCTGAAGTGCACAGCATTACTGTTCAATTAAGGGACAGAAGCATTTCTCTCTAATGTTGCTATAATATTCAGATTGTCTTATTTTTTATTCTCTGACCTGTCMTGACATCCTGAGGGGATGGTGGGGGGAGAGGAGTTGAGCAGCTTTCATACTGACTGAGGTGGAAGAACGACATCAGTGTGGAGTTTTGGTGTTATGATAACTTCAGTAGTACTGCATGCAGCATAAAAATAATGAAACATATATTTTTAATTTATTTTGTACATTTGGTATTTCTAGGTACCCTTTTCTGCTTGAGACTTAATGTTTCACAATGCCTATTTCCTTTTACATTCATGCAAAAAGCTGTTAATAAGATTACACTGGCTAGTCCTAATTATGTTAATTTCATTTAGAGCAAAATGCAAATATCACAAGTGTTCCAGTTACTTGCTTAGTCATAAAATGTTGAAAACCAGTTGTCAATAAGAAATGTTGTCATCATTTCAAATGAAAGCCATTGGAGCCAGATGCARTTTCTTCTGTCTATGATGGTGTAATTCACTGTATTATTTTAGCTTATGATAGATCTGCATAAGGATYTTAGGACAATAACAACAGATTATAGTAAATCTCCAAAGCAGAACCTGAGCAAGTTGTTGGTTTGTTGCATAACCGTGTACTGTGTACTTTGGAAAGGAACGAGTTCTGGGAAAGAGGATTGTGGCTGGAATCTTGCACCACCTACATTTACTTTGAAGATGTTAAAAATGGAGGTGTTCTTGGCACTTCTTTTAGAGGTTGGGGGTGTTGTGTATTTTATTAAATATTTTCTACATCGTCTGATTCATGTTGGTAGCTCATGCAATGTCCTGAAAAGGAAGGCAGGAGGATTTTTTTAGTTTCACTTTTCCCTCCCCCTTCCCATTGCCTCTATTATGAGACAGGAAGTATATTCAGTTAATGCTTTAGTTCAGATCTTGACTGTTTTATCTCTTTGCACTGAAGAAGCTGTCTATAGCTTCTTCACTTTATTTTTAAATTGTGTGAGTTACTTTTAGGCAAGGTTAGTAATTAAGCACAAGCCTGTAAATGGTGTTTAATCCCTTTGACAATAGCAGTAATCTTTTTCAGACGGAAGAGATCATGAAAACATTCTGATTTTTTAATCTGGGTTATAGAGAGCACTCACCTGTGAATTGCTGGAAGACCCTTYAGTTTCTGTTCCACAGCAATATGCTGTTTTGTTGCCAGTCTTCAGCCCACTGTCAAAAGTGAGAATTATGTCCTCTATGGCTGGACCATAATGTGGATTAATGTTCTAGTTGAAAAGATGAATTTATTGGGACATAGAAGTCCCAGAGAACAGTGAGCACTAAATAGTGTATGCTGTTGTCCAGTAGAAGGATGTTCAATGAAAGTGAACAAAGAGTCCTCTAAGCTTTTTCCTTTATTGCATGTGRTGGGCTTCATGTACCCAAGTACCTCTCTGTTCCTGGGCATTTCAATTTTGCTTTTAAGTACTCTTAAGATATAAAACTGCAATAGTGGTTTGTGTTAATTTTTGTTTCCCATAGCTTAAGCTGTACCTCTGTGTTGCTTCTGATCCACAGGCAACTGAAAAGCTCMCCAGTGTTGTATTCGCTTGGTTTTCTGCTGTGCAGCAAGTCATGCCTTTGTCTATTCTGCAGCTGTGTTTTATCCTAGAGGAAACTGGARCTGATGGTTAACTGAAATAGCTCTCAGGCTTGGGCTCTTCCCCCTCCAGCCTTTGGTAAATGGTATATCACAGTATGGCTGTTTTTGTAACATTTCAAGAGCTTATTCAAGACTGTCAGCTTTACTGAGATCTTAATGGCCAAGTTTTGTYGAGGTTAACAATGAATCCGCTTCCTGTTCTCACTGCTGAAAGAACAAAATTGTGCTTTCAGGACTAAATGTGAATTATGAATACAAAATACAAAGATTTGAGAGATGTTATRTTGAAGGGATTAATTCTATATTTGTTGTTAGGGGCAGTAGCTCTATTTTAAAGTTACAGCTGAGCACAAAATTTTGCATCTCTATTAAATATTGTCCCTGCTCAATAAACCTTTTGAGTATGTGTTGGAATCTGAAGCATGTGCTTAACTGCTTTGCTGAATTGGGGCCTTCATTACCAAATTGCAGGTGTATGTTAGCCTAAGTATTTAAGGAAAAAAATAACTGTAAAACAATACTTACTTTGTTCTGTTCAATGTGTTATATTAATGGAAAACATCAGAAATGCTGTGCTGTTGCTATGCTGTTCAGAACAGATTTAATATAGTTAATGGCCTAAATGTTTTGTAGATATGGTCCAGTTAAGAATTAACATGGATTGATGAAATGAAAATTCAAAAATTGAAACTGAAATTCTATTTTAGGGTGCATAATATTATTGTAGAACAAGGCTTTCAAGTATTTTCCTGTTTAAAAGTGTGTTTCAATTATATATWTTTTTTAATTCTTAGTGGATATTAGAGCATTTATTATATGTGTGCAATAGCTGGGGCTCTGTAAACATTTCCATAATAAASTTCTCTGTATACGAAGGTTTAATAACGTGGTCATAAAAATGTGTTTTGCACATAAAAGTGGTATACTGGTCTGCCAGAAAGCTTGTGCTTTAAAAATAAATAACATAGTTTAAAGAGAGAGATTAAGAAGGAAATGGAAGAAAAAGTGGGCTGTACCTAACTCATTCCTGATAAATATTTGATCAATATGTTCTTTAATAAATAAATAACCCCCAYTTAGAGAAAGTAGTTCAGTACTGAGCTAATCTAGTATTATTCAAGCCTGAACTTATAYTTCATATCTATTGCTACCTAAAATCTTCATGCATATAGTGAAGATGAAGCACTAGTGCCCTGTTTTCAGATACATCTTAGAGGTTTGAGAGCTCACCTGGCTTCTTTAGATTTCCTTTTGTTAAATTTAAGTGGMCAAAGGGCCTTGAATGTTTCTTCATTAAACATGTTCTCCCATTGTCTGATAATTTCATTTATTTCCTTCCAGAAAGTCTCCTGTTGTTCTGTGAATTTTCTAGAGTAGTGTCAAATGTGGGCATGTTGGTCTTAGGCCCTTCAAGAAAGTAGTAGAGTTGTCCTGCTGTATTTGGGTGTGATTGATTCTTTGATGTAAATATCTCTACAATGGCTGCTGAATAGAGGATATTAAATGAGTGCTAGTTAGCAGTTCCATAATTCCAGCTTTTTGCTGGCTTGCTTAGGAAGAAGGAAGTGCCACAACAAATAGAAGAAAAGATGTTTAGAAAGGAAATAAATGTTGATTTTTTTTTTTAGCACACGTGTTAGATATAAATCCATGTAACATTGTCTTCGATCAGTTTTGGTATGCAGACCTATAAAATATGTTTCTCTGTGTGATATGATGCACGTAAAAGGCTTGTGTTCTGTTRACAGTGAAATAATTAGATAACTGTAAAATGTGGCTCTGCTTCACTGGCTTTTTACTGAAAACTAGGATGGCTGAGAGCTATTGGTTCATACTTTAGCTTCATATGAAAGTTTTTAAAAATAATGATTTTATTTTCCCAATACTTTATTCAATCTGATTTTGGAGAAATAAACTGAGGAATTGTTGCTTTATGGCTTACTGGCTGTGTTCCGTCCCAAGACTTTCYTGTTGCAGAATACCTTAATGTTCCTTGTGGGTTGCTTGCATTCTGAAGACCAATTGTGCAGCTGTGCTTTCCGTGCAAAAAGTAAATCTGCACGGTACAACACATCAGTGTTTTTGTTTTGTGGTGCTACCTGTGTAGTTTCTGTAGTCCAAGACACCTTTGGCACGTGGAAATCCTTTCTAATCTGTCACAAATGTGGACCTGTACCGTGCTGTAGGAATTTTCTTCTTCTCCACCAACATAAAATTAGCTATAGCTACATTGTGCTAAATGAGACCACCAGATTTTTGTGAGACATCCCCCTGTTTAAAATAGTGTATTATGWTGGGAAATAGGAGAGAAGATACATTCTGATTTACTAGATACGCTGTGAAGTCTTGGAGATTCTGTGGAGAAGCTGAGAAGTACTTGCTACTCTTATCAWTGTGTCTTCTGACCAAAGCAAATGAGGCGAGTCTAGATTCAGTTGGTTTGTGTGTTTTTTAGTGCTGAGATTCTTTCGGACAAGTTCAAAATGATACTAGGGTGGTTTTTTTTTGGTTTTTTTTTTTACCTTTACACATACATGTACATTAATGTGATTTACAGGTAACCAACACATTTGCACTGGGGTCTAGAGTACCAATATTTAAATTTAGTGGTAAGTTTCAGTGTTTACTAGGTTATGGTTTCAAGACAGTTCATATTTTCATTTAGAATTTGACCGTGGGTAGACTCATAGGCATGAGAATAGATGTTCTGCAGATATTCTGCAGTTCTTTTTGTCTTTGCTGAATAAAAGATGAAATCCCTGAGTGATATTTTGTGTAGCAAGGTGTGTGAAATCAAATGAGGGATAGTCCCTTGAAAATAAGAGAAAAACAGAGATGAAAAATGCCAAGTAGTGGGAGCAATATTTGCATTTGCATTTTTAACTACTGTAAATTAAGGCCTAATTTCCAAGGGAATCTGAAAAAATTGTGAGTGTTCTCATTTCTTCAATGTATTTTTCTTACCTTTTAGCCATATTAGCAAGAAGTAGAAAGGAATTAGCTTCTAGCAGTGAAATAGCGCAATGAAATCTGAAAAAATAACTTTTTTTTTCTTTTTTTTTACTTTTCTATTTGTTTTTCATTCATTGCCTAGTACTCTTAATGACACTGAAGATTTTGGATGTGTTCTGCAGATGACAGCTAACCTGTTTGAATTTACCGGGCATGATATGTTACCATTGTATATGCTGTTCATAAACATTGGAAACATAACCAAGTTACTTTTATTTTTCTGTTGTCTTCCAAGGGATGTCAGAGATGGCTTCAGAAGAAAAAGCTTCTATTCTCATTATGTGAGAGATCGATCCCCTCATAGGAGGGACTCTCCTTTCTTCAGGGAATCGCCAGGGAGCCGGAGGGATTCTCCACACAGCAGATCTGGCTCTAGTGTCAGCAGCAGGAGCTACTCTCCTGAAAGAAGCAAAGCCTATCCTTTCCACCAGCATAGCAGAAGTATGTCATCCTTACATAAAAGAAATATTTCTTCTCAGCAAGGTAATGCTGGATTAATGATGAGAACTGGTTAGTGAGGTGAAACTGCTCACAGTAAAAGCCTTTTTTTCCTTACATGCTCTTTTTTACAATGGGAGAAGCTGGCATTTTGTGCCATCTCTGTTGTCTGCTCTGGCTGTTTCGTTATACTCTCTGTTCCCTTATGTATTTCATGTGGGAGATGATAGGTGTTATTTTGATAGCAGGTCTAGACTGACTGTAGGAGTTTCAGCTGTGCAGCTTTTTCTAGTGTTTTATATTCTTATTAGCATAACTCCTGTAACTTCTTTATGTGCTTCATTGGATTCCCTTACAAGAAACTTTGCTTCATCTGCAGCAGATGAAGAAGTTTCTTTGGGAAACCAGGAGAAAAGAGGGATTAAAAAACTGGAGAAATTAAAGTGCATACTGCCACTTGTATTTTTTCCAAATTTTACTAGGCTTTTGAAACTGATGGCTTTTAGCAATTACATTTCAATGTCAAAACCTCTCAGATCTTGGTTTCCTCAAAGAAATATGATGCATATCTCAGTGTAGTCCATACTGTGTCTGACTTTTAAAAGCTTGGCTCTTAATGTTTCCCAGAAGTCTAATGAATCATCTGTTTCAAAAATATTTGGGGCTTTCATCTTAAAATGATTTTGGGGGGGAAAATTGTAAAAATGCTTTTTTTAGTATGCTACATTCTTAGCCACTCTGTTTTTACAGCTTATGTAAATTAATCAGATTTGATTTCCCTTTCTGCAAATGCTTTCTAGTGAACTGTGTRAACCTACTGTTCATTTTGGCAGGCTTTTAAAAATTAATTAGATTTTTCTGTACTCACTGGGAGGCACATAGTGTTTGCAGAGTGACACTGAACCATTATGTAGCACTTCTTGCCAAAAAAGATCTTTGTAGTTTAGTTAACATTGTTCAAATATTGAGGAATCATTTCACTTCTTGTAGAATACAGAAGATCTTCCTATTTGGACATTACAGTGCTTTTAACATTTTGTRGCAATACTCAGTGAATATAATTCCTATAAGTGTAGATGAGGAAGAAAAAAATAAGGTATTTAACTAAATTTGTTCAAATATTGTAGGTGTGCAGCTCATAATTACTAGGGAAAGGAAAACAGTATTGTGAGAAACCATGCAAAATTTTGGAATGTTTCACAGTTTTWAAAAAATTTTGAGCTGACTTTGATTATACATTTATATAGCATATTGTTAGAATTGCCTAGACAATAGTGGAGGTAGTGAAGTAAAAGCAGACAYGTTCACAAACCAGAAAAGATGCTGATCAGGAGAGGAACTTACATCTAGGTCTATGTTTTTTGATATTTTCTCCCATTTGCATGGTTAAATACCTTTCCCTATCGCCTTTAGATCAGTTTTAAAAGACCAGATGAGTTGTACACTGGATTATTTCTTTATTCTTTCCCTGGAAAACACGACTGCTAAAATATCCCTCTAGATGACTGAATTAAAATGGCCTATTTGCAAGATTTAAATGGTTTAAATAATACTTTTAGAATCACTTTTGAATGTGATTTCCCTTAGGTAAGCTCATGTATTGCATATTTAAAAGGAACATAAAGTGTGACATCTCATATATGTCAGCAGTACATTTTAGTTGGCACTTAAATGGATTTACAACATGCAAAGTATATACAATTTCATGTGGAATTTGCAATGTGGTGTCTTTCTAAAATATTATAATGTTTAAAATCGTGCTGTCTGGTTTGGCCTCATGACTTCCACTGAAGGAGCATCCCATGTTCTACAGCCCTTCATACATTAGGATAAATGCAGAATTTAAACAAAGAAAACTGTGAGGGTGTGAAGAAGCTTGGTAAAGGGAGGGAAAGGGCTGATGGGAAGGACAAGCATTCATGTGTGATGGAAAGGCCTGGAGAGAAGCAGGATGGCCCCTTCCCTGGGCCAGGCAGTAAGGGATCAGTAGAGTGGTCTGGTGAGGAGATGCAAGTAGGCAGATGGTGGTGCTTGGAGAGTGTCAGGTTTCATTTTACAGGTAGGGCTTTGGGACTTAAAATAGCCACATACATTCTGAAAAAAATGACCTAAAAATGTCTCCAAATTAAATGGTGGTTTTTTTCTTGACTTTGAATAATTTTCTGATGTTTGTGTCAGCTCATTTTATCTGTTCAGGTGCAAACATATAATCCATTTAACTGCAGTAATCTTTAAAGAATCCAGTTTGATGAAGGAGGCATGTGAGAGGCAGAGTGGTCTGTAAATTTAAAAGGAAGTAGCTCATCTATGGGGCTGAAAAGCAGGTATCACAGGAGCAAAACTTGTGTTACTTAGTGGTGTCAGGGGAGATGTTCTGTTCTTTGGGGAGTGTGGCAGAATAAAAACATGGTTATTTCTATCTTCTTGGTTTTAGCTTGGACTAAATGTATATACTTTTTTATTTACATGAGCTTTTAAATTTTTCATAGCTTTTTTGTTTACTGTTTCTTGTCAAAAAGCTCTTTTTCTGTTAAAGGTCACTTTCTTTTGTTTTGTGTCTGCCAGTAATTCTTAAGTGAGGCTGATTACTATGTTTTTAAGTAGGCTCTTTATTTTGTATCATCTTCAAATTGAGGTTTCAAGTGCAATTTAGAATGTTTGATTTTGCTGGAGTAACATTCCCACCTCTTTCCATTACCATTTTTGAAGGACCCATCGGTAGCTGTGAAGATTTTTACATGGATTTAGCATTATAGCACTAACCCACTTGCCACCAACMGTGTGCATAGATGAGCCGGTTTTGGTATTTGCTTTGTCTTAATTCTACACTATATATGTTATGAAAATGTGGTGAAAGAATTGAAGACCAACTTTTCACATACCTCTTTAAGATATCCTTTTGTTAAAGGCATGCATTTTGCATAGACTTTTGCTTGAGTTTTTGTGTAGGTATTTTAAAATACACCACACAATGCAGTATTATTTTATGGTATTCAACAAAAAAAAAAAAAGGAAAATACCTCAGCTGTTTGCAGTGAGATGCCATCTCTGGTCTTTGTTGCTTTTGTTAAATTAAAGCCATATTTAAAGTGATAATGAACAAACACATTTGTAGTTCTACTAAAATAATTTCTATCCCWATTTCCCTAACCATGTGATAGACTTTTAAATTAATCCCTTTGTTAATTGTATTGAAAAAAAATTTAATGGAACCCAAGGTAAGTTTACATTGTATTTTATTTGTGAACAGTCAGCTGTTTCCTAATGTGTGGGAATGGTSTAGTTAATTTAGGCTTACTGGCAACGTGTTTGCTTTCGTACTTACCCTTTGCAGATCCCTTAGATGTAGTCTGTGGACCACAGCTTGAAAACCAGCAGTTTTCAAGAACTCCAGCCAGTTCTGCTGCTGTGGGCTGCCTGTAAATGGTCTGTGGCAAGACCATTCACAGAATGTGAATTGGCCACTTTGCCAGTTTTAACTTTTGTAAGAAAGACAGTGATCTTACAAAGGGCATCTGCCCTGTGGCTGATAAAATTCAGGACTCTTTCCCATGGCAGGTCTTTTCAACRAACTGTGGCCTGCTAAACCAGTTCATACACTACCTGGTTTCCTTTGGTGATTGACTGGTGTCTAATATTTCAGCTGTTTAAATTATTGTAGGAATATTAAAAAGTGAAAACACATCATATTGCGGGGTCATATTGATACACCTTTTCAATTAACCCACTGTCCTTTTTTCAATCATTTTCTTAAATGTTTGAAATGACACAGCTATATCTCTTCTTTCCTTGGGAAGAGAAAACAGTGTTACCAATTTTATTAGATAAAGAAATACGTATTTTTTTTAGAATCTTGGAATCATTAAGGTTGGAAAAGACCTCCAAGATTGTTGAGTCCAACCTTTGATYGAACACCCYCTGTCAACTAGAACATGGCACTAAATGCCATGTCCAGTCATTTCTTGAACTCCTTCAGGGATATTAACTCCACCACCTCCCTGGGCAGCCTGTTCCAAAGCTTAACCACTCTTTCAGTRAAAAAATTGTTCCTTATATCCAACCTGAACCTTCCCTGGCACAGCAAGAGGCAATGGCTTCTTGTTCTGTCATTAGCTTCCTTGACAAGAGTCCTGTTGCTACAACCTCCTGTCAGGTAGTTGTTGAGGTTGATAAGTCATGTCTGACTTAAGAAAATTTCACTGCAATTTTTCAAAGCCAGTAAGCATATTTGCAACATATATCTTTAATTTTGTGGTCATTAATTTTTTTCTTAATTGCAGGTAAAGAGAGGCCAGTTCAATCATTGAAAACATCAAGAGATGCATCACCTTCAGGGTCCACAGCAGTACCTTCATCAAAGGTGAATTTTCTTTTTGAGTATTTCTCATTGTGGTTTTAGATGGTTGGGTTTTTTCCTCAGTTGGAGTAAGCTGCTGTATGCACCTGCTAAGGTTCATATTCTTTACAATGTTTCTTCCTATTCCTTACAATAGGACTAGGACTTGGTCTTAGTGTTACCCACTCACTTTGACCCAGGCCATTTGCCATGTTATTTAATGACTGTCAATGCCTGATTGTTGTGACAAGATAAGACKATGACACACTGGAAGTTGCCCCCTGGATGAGATTAGGGGGCTGGCCGGGAGTTCAAGATTCATTAAGATAAATAGAAAATTAATAGGGCTTGACTCTGTGTCATTGTGAGTACATTATTATTACCACTCATTTTGACACAGACACACTCACCATGTTATTCAGTGAGGGAAAAAACAGGCTTTGGTTGTGCTATGTCATTCCAGGTACTTATTCCTTATGCYAGCTGACTGCCACTGTCCTTCAGGGGTAGTCAAGTGATATATTTTCAGTTATTTAAATAGGGAAAGTAAGTTAAAAGCTATTATGCAGATTATGCAGAAGTTGCACTGATTTGGATCATAAAATACACTTTAGAATTATTCACCTATACACCTAGAATTATTTCACCTATTTTGCTTACAGACTGAGCACACTGCAGCTTAATGCCAAATCTTGCTTAATACACACCTTTGAGAGCAAGGAGGCATTGCAAAATCTCTTACACTTGTGTTAATATGTAGTGTGAACTTGAACTCTGTATTCTCTGAGTGTTCTGCTTCTTCAGTCAGGTCTGATCTATGCTGTATTTTTTTTTGCCATCAGTTTGCAAGTATCTGCTGGCAGTAGATACCTGCTTAATATAGGCTATGCAAAATAAAACTTTCTGTTTGATTGAAGTAATTTCCCCAGACAATGTAATTTTTTATTTGATATGTATCAGCTACAGAAGTGTAAATAATTCTCTGACCATTTATTGTTTTTTCTCAAGTTCTCAAATCTTGTAATGCACTGCCCTGTGTCAGTGGAGCCTGTTGGAATCAGCCTCTTGGCTGGATCACACTGACAAGTTACCTAAGTGCTTCACTGACTTAGAATTAGTGACAGAAAAASTCCTGGCAAAATATGGACATTTCCAGAGCCAAAGTCTTAAAATTAATAAGGCTTGAAAAATTAGTTATATACTATATATTAGAGATTAAAGGAGATAATTTTCAATGCTCAAAATTATAATTTAGCTTTGAAATTCTTACAAAGGTATGTTTCCATAGCAATACCCCTTTTCACTGTAGTATCTATTTGCAAATCTAAAAAAGTTTCGGTTTGTATCTGTCTTATAATTATTTTTTGCATATTTGTGCATGTGAATTAATATATGTTGATGTTACCTGATTTGAGCCACCCATTTGACTATGGCATGAAATCTTTCGTGTTTTTCTTTAATAGCTATGTGGACTATAAGCCTTGGAGTCTGTATCCAACATACAGCAAAAGGCAGATGTGTGAGACAGGGAGAGCTTCTGAACAAAGTGACAGGTTTTTGCTTTTCTATGTTATTCATGAGATAAAAAAAATAAAATAAAAAGACTTCTGTTTTGAGGCRGAGAGTGCGGGGGTGCAGTTTAGTTTTTTAATGAGATATATTAGGCTGGTTGTTTCTTGCAGGTTTGCAGCCTAAATAGCTGCTGCTATTTTCAGCTGAGAAATATGTTCCTGTTCTTTCTGTTCAGTTGAAGYGTACCTGTGGAAATGCCATTACTTAATTCTATAAAATTCACTCAAGATTTAATATGTATTTATCGACTTATAGAATTAAATTTAGTGAGATTAAATTAAATAGATTTTTTTTTTCTGTATTCCACTAGATACTAGAATGGTTAAATTTTTTTATGACTTTTGCAAATATGGCAGGTCGTGTGAGATTTTCTATGAATTATAATACTCACGGGTTTTAAGAGCCCTGGTTATACCCCTGCATATTGAACTTTGTCACCTGCTGACTTCACTGGTTTTAGTTCTGTAATTTGCAGTTACAGAAAACAGGGATTCCTATTGGAACRTGGTGTTGCGCTTCTCTTCTGGATTCAGATAAAGGTGGTATCTTTATGACACAGARTCCTGGAAGGGTCTGTAAATTTATGCCATAGTACAGCGCGAAGATATTTGGATAATACTTTGTCTTCATTTTTTTGTTCTTCACTCAAGCAAGGGAGTGTTGATACGGGCCATTTATGTAACTTAGAATGAACTGATGATAAGAGGTGGAGTGTTGGTTTGAGGTTTTTGTTTGGCTGGTTTTTTTTTTTGTCTACCTGCTAAGATGGAACATTGGGTAGAAATTGTTATGGCCTTTTTCAAGCAGGAGGGTTTTTGTATCTCTTTTTTAGATATCCATCTTAGTGTTGCAATTTTTAATGCTACAGTGATAGAGATTCTTTGGATACTTCTATACATACAGTTGATTTAAATTAAATATCCATGTAGTGGTAACAAGATTTATAAAGCTAGCTATTCCTAAACTGGTATTTGTCATTGTCTGTTTGCTGCTCTGGTAGTAAAAGCCAAATAGTATTCTTAGAGAAATCAATTTTTAAATATTTGTGTGTGAATTTTCATTTGAAATGGTAGATTAAAAGAACGTAATGCCATGACTGACTCTATTATAAATGGTTAGTATTCCCCCAAATAAAAAATAATGAATTTTAATGAAACCTGCTCTGATCACTTAAAGTTTGTATAAAATCTTTTGTCCCTAATTAGCTAAGGTTTTATACCCTACCTAGTATTTAATAGTTTATTTTAAACTTTTTACAACCTTTKCTGCCTGAAAATCACATTGAATTATTAATTCACTGTTATATCTGACTTCTTTCAGTGCCCAAGAGGTCTCAGTTAATTTTTCTGTTATCKCTGAGCTATGAATTTAATAAACCTGATTCTGAAAGTAAAGGTTTTTTAGCAGTCCACTGAACTTTGTTGATTTGTCTTTTTTTCTCCTCTCTTGTTTGTTTATTATGTGTTCTCTCCCCACTCCCTTTTCTTTTTAAAGAAGTTGGACAGCAAATGAAAGAATTTCAACYTTCTTATTTCCTGTTCTAAAATGTTTTAGGGATCTGAATAACTATTTATTTTAATTTTGAAGATTTTTGCAATGTGTAGGTCTATTTCGTGTTAAACCTTGACTATAATGTTTTTGTACAGGCTTTGGAGAAGAGCAACAGACTATCAGAAAAGGAACTTGCAGAAGCTGCAAGCAAGTGTTCTTATTTCCTGTTCTAAAATGTTTTAGGGATCTGAATAACTATTTATTTTAATTTTGAAGATTTTTGCAATGTGTAGGTCTATTTCGTGTTAAACCTTGACTATAATGTTTTTGTACAGGCTTTGGAGAAGAGCAACAGACTATCAGAAAAGGAACTTGCAGAAGCTGCAAGCAAGTGGGCAGCTGAAAAGGCAGAGAAGGCTGAGGAAAGCAATTTACCTGAAATAACAGAGTATGATGTAAGATAGGATTATTAATCCATTTATTTTAAAGTGTTACAGCAATAGGCTTTTGTTTTTCTGTAATCTTCATAAAGGCACATTTTGTATCTTAATCCTGATTTTTTTCTGCATGTGCTATTAAATATTTGTTGAAAGGGAGTGAGAGGGAGACTAAAGCYTTGCAATTTATTTTGAAGAAATACACAAAGCCAGAGTACATTTTGTTAGTATAATTTGAATCCATTGAGCTACAAGTGACACAGTAAAGCTTCAGCTCTCCCAAGCATTCTCCAAGGAACTCTTGTAATGGTGTAGGTCTCTATGCCTACTGAACTCCTTAAAATTAGCAGGGGACTTCTGTGTCAAAACATGAGTGTACATGTAAAACATAAGACTTAAAATGGAAACTCTGCTTTTTTGAGTTCCATTTCAACCATGTCAGCCTACCATGTCATGTATTCTTTTTCAGAAAACAGTCCTGCATTATATTAAATATTAAGCTTACCTTGTTACTGCATTGGTTAGATTTTTTTCTCTTTCCAGAATCTTTATTTCATTATTAATCAACATGAATTATTTGGCAGTTTATTCCCATTTGTTTTTGTCCCTCCTTGTCTTCTACCCCTGGCTATATTGAAGTGTAATTATAGCCATTCTTAGTCATTTGTTATGCTGCTTTTGGATAGGATGTCTTCTTTGAGTTCTACTATGTTCGTGGAAAATGTATTTATTGTTTAAAACAACCCAAATAACACGTAATCTAAAATAATCTGTTTTATTTCTGTGATAATTTTCTCTTTAACTTTCACTTTGCTTCAGCTTTAGAGACAGTCTTTAAAAAGCAAARTAGTATCTACTTCACAAAGTCATGCCTTAACCTTCACAATTATTTGRCTTTGTTTTTTTTTATTTGTTTGTAAATAATTTTAGGGAAAATGAAAGCATCTTGGGAAGCATCACRTTTCCACTGGTAGAATGTAAGGGCTAGGTTAGTGAAATAAACTCACCAAATCCATATTTATCTGACCTTTCAAGTCCTGTCCATATATGTAATGGGTGGATGCATGAACAACTCCTCAATAGTGGACAGGAAGTTCTAGTTAGATACATAAACTGAAAAAAGCAATTGAAGAAAAAGGGAAGGAAGTGTTAGACTGAAGAAAAAGCAACAACTGATCCAAGGATGAATGCCATATGAAGGAGAACATATGCATGGACTTCTCTAAGAGGTTCCAGAGAAAAATAGTGAAGACAAATACCACTTTGGTTCTTGGTGAAGGGAAGGTAATGCAAGGGAGGAGATAACAGAGTGGAGAGGAGAGGTTTAAAGCTTCCTCTSTGCCTCAAAGAAARTTGCAGTGGCAAAAAGATTAAAAATAATCAAAGTGAAGCAACTACAGTTGATTTTGGTGCAGTCTAAGATGATTTATTGACTAAGAAAGTGGTCTGTAAAAATGCTAATGAAGGAGGTGAGGCTTCTCAGTCTCAGATAGCAGGCTGTCATGTATGAATTGCAAGAGTTCTTAACTTGTTCCAGTTTATCTTACATACTGCTTAATAGTTGAACTTTATGTTGCACTTAACTTTTTAGTAGCCTTCACTGACTCTCAGGCATTTAATTATTTACTGAGCTAACAAGATTTGGGATGCAATTTTAATGGTTTATGTTGCTGCTAAGGTTTGAGCATATGTTCACGGGGCCTCTTAAACTTTTAAATTTCTTTTTCTGCCTAATGCTTTTCTCTTTCATGTTAGTTAAGATTCTTCGTCYCTATTTTTGGATAATAGAAACTAGATTTATTAATCTACTTCAGTTTTCAAATCCAATTAAAAAAATGAATCTGTTGCATAATATCGGATTTAAATAATAGTGTAAAAAGAAATTACTACATCTTCCACATAAACTTTTTGGACTTGGAGTTTTCTTTGGAGTAGRAATACTGTCTTAATTTCTGTTTTAGAGGGAAGTTTATACAATTTCATCATTTCAGTGTGTTTTTTCATGTTATTAGAAATCCTCTAATCACACATTTGCTTTTGCTATGCAAGAGGTATCGCAGTTCCATTAMTAGACCTGTGGCCCTGAATGCTTCAAGAACTCTTTCTGACAACATTTTTATTTTGTGGAGGTTTTTATTTTTCTCTCAAAACTGAATTCATTGGTTGGGTTTTTTTAAGGCTGGATCTTCAGCTCCATTATACGTTGAACAAACAGAGGAAACAGAAGCAAATCTAACAGATAGTACAGAATTATACGAGGATGGCCAGCTTCTTGGTCGTTCAAAAGCAATTGCAACTAAGACAAAGGAGATWGAACAGGTGAGTCTTCTTGGCATTTTGTCACTAATACAGTAACAGTTTACTTTGCWAAAATTACCCTGATTTATTTTTTCCTCCTTCTTGGACTGTAATGTGAATGTAATTTGATTTTTCAAGATGATGTGATGATAACATCTCTGACTGTTTACTTCTGAAGAACCATGGCATTTATCTGGACATGGAAATTAATGGTAGTTTTCTGTAAACTAACAGAACATCCAACAACTGCAGTTCTGCAAGCTAGTAACTGTTTCTTAAGTCTAGTAGCCTTTGTTCTGTTACCTGTGAGGCTATTTCCTGTGGTGTAACACTGTTCCTTTTTATTGACACTTGAGAAACAGCTTTCTACATAATTGTGGTGTTTGTGTTGGTTTTTTTTCTTTTTTCTTTCTTTTTTTTTTATCTTGGTTTTTTTCTTCTATTAATACCAACTTTGGATAATTATGTTCATGATGGGCATGGCTTTCCATGTGTGTGGGTCTGCCTGGCTTGGAGCTCAGCTGAGCATTCTGTAACTATGAGAGCCACGATGYAGTTGGTTTATCCCTGTGTGTCTGAATGCAGGGTCATATATGGCCTAAAAGAGCTAGTACCAAATGCATAAGCTTAGGACTTTTTAAAAATGACAAACTGAAAAAAAAATGTAGGCTAGGAGCAGATTTTTAAAAAACAGCAGTTGTGATTAGTTAGCCTGAGGCTGGTGAATCTATGATTGATTAAACTTCCCTAGGCCCTAAAGACAGGGTTATAGTGAAAACAGATGAAAATTTGGTCATAAAATCCAAATATTGTTTCCCATATGATCTAATGTTACTGTGTTTTGTAGAATTTGCTCTTAATTCTAGGGAAGTCTAGATTATGTTCTGTAAAATGGAATACTTTTAGCATCTTAGCTCAGAAAAGCCTGAGGAATAACGCAAAGATTTGGAATTTGCAGAACCAGTTTCTCCTGTTGTTGATTTGAATATTAAAACTGTCAGCTTCTGCAGAATTTAAATAAGATTCTAGAATGATGCTAGAAGTATTTTAYTCAACTGAGCAAGATGCTTATTTTCTTATAAACCAGGCACTGTGAATTTGTTAAGAGCTAGACAAGATATTAAATCAGTAAAAACTAAGACTGGAAAATTATTTATATACTTTTTACATAAATATTTAAAATTAACTTCTGGTTTGGCAATCAAATTTTCTGGATATATAAACCTGTTGTGATAAACCTGCTAATTTTAATAATCATGAATATCATAATGAATCATCTTAATGAAATAGTGTGAATCTTTCTACTGTATGTGGTRCAGGCTCTCTCTGGAAATTTGTACACTATTCTGTTTACTTCRAGTTCTCAGCATCTAAAAGTAAATCTAGTTTAACATTTAAATTTTTAAAGTGAACTGTAAGCTAGTACACTTATAAGAAAGCTTATTAATAATATATTTCTGATTATTTGTCTTGAAGACTCAGGTAATGACAGAAAAATTATTTTGTTCTATGGACTTCTTTTCAGTTAAATTTCATTCAGGTGTTTAATGTAGTATTTCTGGAATGTAATTTTGTGGAAAGATTACTAAAATAAAATACTGCAAAGACTTATGCTGCAAGAATGGCAAAGCTGTAATCCTTCTGCAAAGCAAGGTTTTCAAAAGGTTGTTTTTCGGTATGCAGTTAAGGTATTTAAAATAAGAAGGTAATGAAGTCAGACAGGGCTTGTGCCACTGGGTATGTGTTAAAGAATTGCTGAGGGCCCAGCTAGTGTTTGAGGAAGTTTGAGGAGGTTTGATTAGAACGCTTGACCCATTGGATCACTTCTACTTCTGTCTCTTGAATTTTCCTTGGAGATCAGATCTAGTGATGTTTGCTTTTTGGTTCATATTTATTCCTAACCTGACTGCCAAGTATTTCTGCTGTTCCAGACTCCTGAAAAAGCCTTCTTTGCTTTGCYGTCTCCATATCTATATGCCTCTGAAGCTCCAAGCAGGATAAGGAGCAAAATTTTCCAAATATGTATTTTTACTTTGTAGGACGGTTCTGTTTCAGGAAAACCCAGAGGCAAAAAGCTGTGCTGACAGATCATGCATGGTRTTGCAATGAGCAAATCCATTGCTGTGCAGCAGAGAAACAGGCAGTCTGATGCCCTGGGCAGAAGGGAGGTGGCAGCTTGTGGTATAGTCTGTTATTTCTCTTCAGAAAAACAAGCACAAAAATCCCTTGAGCAATTGAATGAAATATTCATACAGGTGTTCTGTTTTAAATTAGCCCATCTCAATATCTTGTGTATCACTCATATCACTCTGTTGAATAGTTGCCTCTGCCTTTTCTCTAAGCTACAATAACACGATTTCCAATTTCAGAATTTTAAATGAAGCGTGATTGTAAATGATCACCCTGGCTCAACAGGAAAGTATTTGTATATTATTTATTTGATGGGGAACTTACTGCGAACATTCATGTAAAATGATGTAATTTGAGGAAAAATTAAGTTCTTTGTGTTCTGGCAATGACAGGACAAAAAGTGACAAACCAAGTGCTAGTTGCTGTTTGTTGTATAATGACTATCTTTAAGGTGTCTGCAGTTATTTTGCAAATATGACAGAAAGAGAGGAAACTAGAAGTTCTGCTCACAGATAAAGTCTTGGAAAAATCCAGACACTCTTTCAACAGAGAACACAAGAGTTATCTGTGTCACTCTAGGACTAGAAAAATTTCAAAGCATAGATATATTTAATTTGAAGTGTGCCAATATTACTTGGAAAGAAAGGATATGGTGGCAGATGCACAGGTGCTTGAAAACATTTCTGAACTGTAGATCTTGCAGATCTTGGGACGTTTTTAATCTCCTCTTTAAAGCAAGAGGCATAGTGATGTTATTGTGGAAACATCCAAGTTGCATGGGATTTACTTGAGCCAATCTCCTCAAAACAGGTCCTTAGGTCAGGTCATTCGGGGCTCTGTCAAATTGAACCCTGCATATTTTCATTGGAGGAGTCTCGGCTGTTTCCCTGAACAGCCTCTTTCAGTGTTTCACTGCTCTGTGTCTTGAGGTCAGCTGCCATCACAGTTTCTTTCCACCAAGGACACAATTTCTGCTCACCTCTTCTCTTGACAGCTTCCTGTCTCYATTCTTGAGCTGCACAATCCCAGCTCCTTGCCGTGGTGCTCTGATTTTGGGATCTGCTCTGCTGGGAGTGGGCTCTACTGCTCTCAGGGAAGGGTTGACTTTCCTAAAACCCTCTGGCTCTGCCCCTTTGTGGTCGGAAAAATAGGTTTTTTCTGGTACTTTTGCTTGGCTTGTACTGTGGAAACTGTTCCCTTCCATCCATGTACAGAGTCATTTCAATCTTTGTGCCTCTGCGCTGAATGGAAATTCTGCAACATTAATGCATGTCTCATATTTTAGTATAACCCATGAAATGTTTTTTAATGTTCTGTTTGTAATAAGCTTTGGAGGTTTTTTTTAAAACAAAATTGTGAGATAATTAGCTTTCTGGGTAGGGGTGTTTCTTGATTGTTTGGTTGAGGTTCTTTGAGGTTAGGTGTTTCCTTAGACCTTTGAACATGCATTTCCCTCTTTTCTTTACACTTACAGTTTTGATATAAAGTGTTATATGTGCTCTGAGCATTTGAGCATGGTGAAGTAGAACCCCATTAAACAAATGCTTAAAAGATTGGTCTGGTTACTTGAAAACAGTGTAGCAGTGAATTTTGTTTCTGCATGTCAAGATCAATGAATGTCTGTAGTTTGCTAATGTAACCATTTCACTCTTTTAAAATACTTTTGCATTTAATAGCATGTATTATGCGTTAAGGTATTATTTTGGAGTTGTTTAGTTTCTGGTTTTATATAATTAAGGACCAGCATGTAATGTGCTGAAGTGTGGGCTTTTTTTCGGAAGTGATGACAAATATGTCCCTGGTGTTAAATTTATAATTGGAGCTATTCAGCATCAGTGTTACACAAAAGGCTATCTCTTTGTTCCTCCTTCATGAGCATGAGTTGCAGGGATTCTTGAAATGTCTTATCTTGTCTAGACATCAAGTCTACAGCACTGTGTTAATTAGTCCATTATTATGTGTCCACTTTTCTTACATGTTGCATATTCAAGTTGGAGTGACATGGATTACCTCTGAAAATCTATTCTTTTCTGAAGACAGATTTTGCCAAATGACAATTTTACCAACTACTCTCCTTGATTCTGGCAAAAAACCAAACTGTTGAGTTTCTGAATGAGATTTGACACTTAATTTGGCTAGCACCAGAGTTCAGGCATCTAAGGAGGAAGCACAGGAATTAATATATTCATCCATGCTTTCTTATTCTTAATGGAATCACTGGCTGACTTTGTGCTTTCTGTTTGCCAATGTTTTTAAATGTTCAGCAGAACAATATTTTTAAATGTTTACACATTTAGATTAATTGCTTCTTTAGTTGACTTTCTAAATTAATATTGCTTGTTAGGAGTCCTCAGTAGTATTAATGATCTGTTACCCTAATGGGACAGCCTTCTTGCTGGAAGCTGCTGAAAGTCAGAGATTTTTTTTTAAATGCTTGTGTTCAGAATTTCATAGTTATGATGTATGGAAAGAAGGAAAAATGGGAGTGTGGCTGGATCAACAGGCTATCCAAATTCTGTTTCCTGATCTGCTGTCTAACTCCTTTATTAGGTAAATTATTTACATCTCTGACCTAGAAATTACTATTAAGTAAGAAAAATAGGATTTAGCAGTTCCAGTGTGTAGTTTGGGAAGAACTGTTTCTTGTTCCCCTTCTTTATTTTTGCTGTTGTTCTGGTAAGATCTATATAGCATATATACAACTCAGCATAGCTGAATTGTCTTTGTGTGTATTTAACACTTGTTAATGGGACTCTGTTCTCTTGGGGTGCTGCTCTGAGAGAAGACTGACCTCAAACAGAGTGATACTTTACATTGAAAGGACTTCATTTAAAAAGTTCTAGTTTTAATATCAATATAAAAAAATTAAAGAGACATTTGTCACAATAAAA